TTGGGTTTTGTTAGTTTTGTTACATATTTTTGAATTGTAGTTAATTTATTTTAGTAAGAATTACAATGAATTTATAGTCCTATAAAAAAAAAAGAGACTTACAGTACCAATAATAATAATTATACCCCTAATAAACAAAATCAGTAGTAACTGGCTAACTGCACCAAAGACAATAACAATTTAGCAATAATAATTAGCCCCCTAAGATTCCACCCCACCACCCAAAAACAATCAAATTAAGCACTAACTGTACCGAAAACAAGTAAAATCAAAATTAACAACAATAACAAAGATCAACAATCTAATAAACACTTATCAAGACAATGATAATGCTATTAATCATGCGAACCCTTGAATTAATAACTAACTAATAATCTGAAACAATCTTCAACAGAGTCCAATCGAATAAAGCTTCAAAATACCAGAAAATTCAGAATGTTTTACTAGACCAAAACCCTAATCAGAATGTTTTACTATACCAAAACCCAAAATACCCTTGAATAGACCAAAACCCCGAAGCATCAAAATACCAGAAAATTCAGAATGTTTTACTAATTTGTACAGAATAGAAAATTCAGAAACAACATCGCAATATGAACATCAAGCATAGATTAAAACCCTAATCAGAATGTTTAACAAATTTGTACATGTAATTTGCAGATTTTCGTAATTAACATTTAACACTAATCATAATTAAAACCCTAAAAAAATATGAACATCAAGCATAATCAAAACTTAAAAGCATACCTTTGGACGGTGGACGGTGTCACAGTGAACGCCTGAACGAGTGCCGGTGAACGATGGAGAGTGAGAATTCTGAGAAACACAAAAGAGATGATTGAGAAACTGAGAAAGTGAGGGTGAGAGACTGAGAAATTCGCAATGAGGGCAGGGTAAGAGGCGAGGAACTGAGGAAGTCAGGAGAGAGAATCAGAGAATGAGGGTTAGGGTTTTTTTTTTCCTTATATACTTAGGGTAAATCTGGGCCTAAATTTCGGTTTTCGGTTTTTTTTCGGTTTTCCATTTCCTCAAACCGAAATATTTTTTTTTTAAAAACCGAACTGAACCACTTCAAAAAAAAAACCGAACCATATTTCTTATTCGGTTCGGTTTTCGGTTCGGTTCGGTTTTAACCCGAATTTGTTTCACCCCTAGAACTTAGGGCTTGTTCTCATACGTTGAAATTCAGTTCAATTCAGTTCAGTTCAATTCAGCTCAGATCAGTTCAGTTCCTTCTCTTATAAAATATTTATTTCAATTCAGTTCAGTTCAGTTCAGTTCACTTCCTTCTCTTATAAAATATTCATTTCAGTTCAATTCAATTCAGTTCAGTTCAGTTCAGCTGAGTTAAGTTAATGAGAACATGCCCTTATTAGAGCTGAACTGATCTGAAAATAATCGTATCAGAACAGGCCCTTAATTGATTAATGATGTTGTAATTACTCTATCTAGTTCTTTTAAACTGTTGAGTCTTTCAATAATGCAGATAATATCTTTTACTATAAAAATAAATACACATTTCAAAACTTACTAATCATGTGAACTATTGTTAGATTTATCTTGTTTCAAATATACATTTCTCAATAACTATTTTTATTTTCAAATTTATTTGTTAGTTATACGTACATGTCTAATAAATTGTTATTACAGTGATACATTGAAAATCATGCAAGATTTCAATGAGAAAATATAAAAAGAACCGAAGGGAGTACTAATTATGATTATTTTTTTTATAGCAAATGATTTGATGAATATTTTGGAACACATGCACATGTCTAATTAAAAGCCATTTCATACTATTTTCAGGAAAGATATTAAATTCTCAACAAGTTTTTCTGCTACAAAGTGTACTACAACTACATATATGATGATCACATTTTATGAGATTTTTGCTATAAATCTTGGAAATATCCCATATCTTTTGTCGGCAGATGAATCACCTAACCAATTTTAATTTGATTTGTTTAATTTAATTTAATGTTTCTCTTTATTATTTGCCACGAAGCTCTTCTGTAATTCTATAAACAGTACTTAGTATTCTGATTCCATATGAACTGTCACTACTTCAATCCGGGCAACAGGAGTACAATTTTAACTTCTATTATATAATTAATACAAGTATTAGGTTGTTATGATATACTTATGTAATTTGTTTAACTAACTATATGTCTATGTCTCTAATGTATAGCTAGGTCTAAGGATTGGACATCTTTGTTGGCTTCATTATCTCCCTCGGTTTCAAAATAAAAGTCTTGTTTGGTCATCTGCTATTGGTTGTTGTGTGATTAGATGTTAGTTTAAATTGGTTATCTAAAGATATTTGATACGTAGTAAAATTAAAGCTAAGTTGTTGGTTCTTTAAATATTACTCTACTACATACCTTATTTAGCATGGCTTACTAAAAAAAAAATCATTTTAGCTAAAAAGAATTCGGGTAAAAAAAAATCATTTTAGCTTAAAAGAATTTGGGTTGAAACTTTGAATTAAAGTAATTTACCAAAGATAAATTTGATGAAAAAAAGCCAATTAAAGAGTTGTAATCTTGTAAAAGTCATTTACTTAACAAGGTTGGGATTTGTTATACACCATGCGGTAGGGGTTATCCGAGTCTTTTTGCTAGGGGTTATCCGAGTTTTTCAGTCAGGGGTTACTTGAGTTTTTCAATCAGGGGTTATTTCATTATTTGAGTTACTCGATTAGGAGTTACTTGAGCTACTCGGTCGGGGGTTACTTGAGGGGTTCGAACAGGGGTTCACTCGGTTAAGGGTTCTTTAGTCAGGGATTACTTGAGTTTCTCGGTCAGGGGTTACTCGAGTTTCTCGATCAGGCCGCATGCAAAAAATTGTGACTCGAGTAACCTCTGACCGAAAAACTCGAGTAACCCCTGACCGAGAAACTCAAGTAACCCCGAAAACTCGAGTAACCCTGTTCGAGAAATTCAAGTAACCGCGAAAAACTCAAGTAACCCCTGACTGAGAAACTCAAGTAATCCTTGACCCGGAAACTCAAGTAACCCTTGGCGCACGGTACAACAGGCCGCATATAAAAATTTGTGTATAGATAATGAATTCTAGCATGCTAAATTCACTCTAAATTTTGAAATTTAAGATATTAACGATCCAATAAGTACATTTTGATAATTGTATTAGTCAATTTAAAGTATATTGCAATATATTTTTTTAAAAGCAAAAGTATTAATTAATAAATGATAATATATACTCTAATTGCTTTATGTTTTGTCAAGTATCTACAATAGTATTTGTACGAACCATACAAACAAAGCTGCAAAAGGTACAAATAGTTAGATTTCTGTAATTCTGTTACATGCACTAGACCTCCAACATATAGTATGTACTTTGTTAGACCATTAATTATGATAAACACTAACGATAAGAAGGAATAATTAGTGTTAATTTTGGTATTAATAACACCACGCAATGTCTACACTTTTCATGTGGGAGAATGGAGGAAAAGCCATGTCAATCTCTAGCCCCCTATAACACTTACACAAACCATAGTTTAATGTTAATAATTTAATTAAACTATTTAGTACTTAATTTATATATTATTAGCCTTTAAGCTAAGGTAATTATAGATGGATTCACATGCTTGATAGCATGCTTTGATTCTCTAATTTATCTTTAAAAGTAATTACAAATAATAATATTGCATTGCATGCATGGAACGAATAGAAAGAGTATGTTCCTCCCCAACCACATGCTTCCTAGGGGCCAACAAAAAGAGTCTCAATTTAAAGGCATTACAACTCTATAGTATTGATGTATTGTATATTATTGTATAATGTATAGTATGAGATCCCATAAGGTTACAAAAGAAAAAAAAAAAATTAATGATAAAATTATTTTTTTGATAAAATTATTTTTTTCTTTTTTATAATAATTATAATAAATAAATAATAAAAGGTGGTCCTCTATTACTTGCAAATACATGTATCACAAGCACAAGGTTCATAGAAAGCTCAAAGCCCCAAAATCTATAAAGGTCGAATGCATATTCCTAAAAGGACATTTGCATGCCACATTTCAGTTGCTTTGCTTTCGAACAACATCTCTTTTGCCTTGGGAGGTGCTAGTTATTCTTTCTCCGCTCTTTTAAAATTGCAATTTTGCAATGTACTACATGGAGTTTCAAGCTCTATCATCGAACAATTAATATATGTGAGTGTCTTGCATTGATCGAAAAAAGAGATTATTAATCACTTTATTAGGAGTAAGCGGGTGTATTCAATTCATCTGATTTACTTATTTAAACTTATCTTACGAAGTATCTTTTTCTAAACTTTTTTATTATTATTATTATTTTGAATGATTTTGGGATACAAATTTGTTTGGTCTACATCAATTAAGGAAGAGGATTGAAGGACTAATTTTTTGACTTAAATTTAACACTTACTAATACACATTAGTAAATATACATGATGCTATGTTATATTTTAAAAATACGTATCAAGACAGTTCAAACGGGATTTCACAATATATGTATGATGATGGAAATTTGAATGCCACGTACTCTCTAATTCTTTGTTGATTTATTTGACAAGTGTCAACTTTTGTTAGAGGAATGGCTTCATAAACGTACAAGAATAGTTATTACAATGATAACTCGAAAACTCTAACCAATAGGCAATAATCAAGTGCCCCTAAAATCTAGGCTCCCTAGCCGTGATCTCGCCGGACTTTAATGAAAATAACCTGCATTGGTAACTCAAACTTTAGCTTCCTTCATTTAGCAATTAATTCCATTATTCAATGCAATCCTTTTTTTCAAGTTCCACTCATTTGTATTTCTCAATTATACCAATTTCTTGGTTCCTTCTTTCCCTCGTCCCCAAGAAAATGCAAGGTATTTAAATTGTTTATTATTTGTTTACGAGTATTATTTTCACGGTCTTCAAATAATTGTCTCATTTGGTTTTTATATACGTTTTTAGGAAGGTAAATAATATATATATTTGTACTTTGCCAAAGAAATGAGTGAAAATCTACATTTTGTACATTTAGAGTTTAACCAAATAAAAGAATGTGCATATCATTCAAAGTTGAAACCCTTGATCAACATATTTTTAACTAATTCCTAATTATCCCACATTCCCATAACAAATCCTAAAGATCTAAGCAAGGAGTCAAAATGCTACAACCTAATGTCTTGTAACCTTTTGGCAAGATCACAAGATTACATTTGCTAAGCAATCCATGTTAGTAAACACGTACCACAACCGAAAACTTTCCATTTTTTTAATCACGACGAGTGATTGAATTTTGATATTTTAACCTAATTTTGAAAACTCATTAGTAATACTCAATACCACAATCACAAAATTATCGATTGGATAATTACTATATGAACAGAAAACGCACACGAGCAAGCATACATAAAGGAGACATGCTAACTCTTTAACTATACAACTCAACATGACACCTCTCGATCATCCCTATTGTCCTCGGACAAGCGTCTAAACACGATTGGTGCACCGTGTTGAGGGTAGAGGAGCATCAACACCGTTGGTGCATGTTGGTAAGACGGGGCAAGCGTGAAAGAGAAGCGTTGTAACAAGATAGTGAGCACAAGTTTAGCTTGAAGAATAGCAAGATTTTGGCCAATACAAGTGCGAGTTCCAAGGCCAAAAGGAATGAACGCCACAGGATGCTTGGCTGCACGAGAAACACCATCAGCAAATCTCATGGGATTGAATTCATTAGCATCATTGCCCCATATTGCTTGATCATGATGAACGGCTAAGATCGGGACAAGTAGCTCGGTCCCACGTGGGACCCGACATCCTCCTAGCTCCACGTCATACTTAGCTCGTCTAATTGTTGCAATTGCTGGTGGGTATAAACGAAGGGACTCGTTTAGTATCATGCTCAACTGCACATTAATTCATAAGCTACATCAAATTTAAAATTTCGATTTTCATAGAAAAAACTTAAACTTCTAATGTTCAACCAAATAATTACTCAATTCATTAGAAGTGAAATTATACGAGAATTGTAAATATATGATAAGTATAACTTCACATGTGCAATCAAATAACTATATGAATTCTCCATACACATTTAACATACATGATCATTGACAAACACTATGAGCTTTTATTGGAGTGATGCACACTCCAATCACCAACCATATGATCTCATACATGTATTACCTCGTATTGATTTTAGAATTATCGTTCTAATTAAATATATTTAGATCATAAATGATTTCTTACGTCTAAATAATTACATATCTTATATGTACTCTGTATAACCAATGCTAAAAGAGGACGTACCACATTATTTACCACATTATTAAAGTTTCCCTATAACTACTACTCCATAGTCCCATATATAGGTAGACTTTATCATTGTATTTGGATGTTAGAGTGTTTGACCCTATCTTATCAATATACTAGTGTACATAGATCCTCACATAGATGTTAAAGTATACAGTAAGAATGTTATGCTACAAGACAAATTTAACATTAAAAAAAAAAAAAAAAAAAAACAATAACTAAAAAAATGTAAAAGGAAGAAAAAAGTAGAAAGGGAACATACCATCTTAAGCTTAGCAAGATCATCTTTAGAGGGTAAGTCACGTGATGGGCAGACCCTTAAGACCTCCTCACGTGCCAGGTCCTGCCAATGAGGATGCATTGCTAGTAGCACAGTGGTCCATGTCAGCAGATTCGACGTCGTTTGTTTCCCAGCAAAAAAGAAGCTTTTACACTCTTCCACAATATCTTGGACCGTTATTTTATTATTATTAATATTATTATTATTATAATTAGTGCTTGATAATTGTGGGGCATAATTTAATGATGATAATAATGAAGAATTATTTATGGGAAATTCTGGAATACTGTTATTTTTTTCATTCTCTCTCATTCCAGCCTGGATCATTAGGCCCAGCAAATCTTTTGGCCCACCATTTTCTGCTACTTCCTCTGATCCAATATTATTATTTCCCATAATAATATTATAATCATCATTATTATTATTATTAAGATTTTGATTCTCTAATTTCCTCTTCTCAATTAGCTTCACTAATGATCTTCTTATCTCCTTGTCTAATCTCCATGATTTCACATTCCCTTTTGTTGGTAGAAATCTGCATTACATTTCAACCCATGTACAAATATGTTAGTACATGATATTAAACAAATGCTACATATATAATATAATAATATAATGTGTCTAACGTTAGGACATTAGTAAGTCTAAAGATATTGATTAGTTGATGATGTTAAAAACAAAAACAAAGATATTATAAATTTATCCTTACAATTTGTCGAGTATTGGTTGACTTATGTCTCTACATACATCGTGACATTACAAGTTGCCGTTTAGTTATTGCAATAAAAGAGACTTAATAAGTGAAATAAACCTATATTATTCTATTTTATGATTCGCAACATCTAATACTTTATTGCGGACATAATTAAGTACCGCCGTTTATATGTAAAACAACAAATAAATTAATTTCAATTACTCTATAATAAGGAGTACAATCCACTTTATTTACATGTTAAATCGAGTTTAAGGCGGTCGGTACAAATGTGGAATCTTGTAATGAGGGTAGGTTGTATATATAAGAAGCTACATAATGGTACAAAAACATCGAAATCATATTTATAACTTATAAAACGAAAATCATAAATCACAATGAATTAGAAGTGAGGACCTAGCTATGAAAATGAAGCCCTTGATGGAAAAAGGTCGGTGAATCTATAAAATGGGTGTATTATAAGTAGTTGATGATGAAACGTGGCACCTTCTTTTAGAAAATGTCACCATACTCCTATTAATTAGGAGAATAACATAGTTATGATCTTGGTTTAGATGGTGATTGTCCAAAATTAATTGGGAGGCGAGTTTGAAAATTTATGTGGTGGGTGAATTATCAGGGAATAAAGGAGTACAATCTAATAAATAGCTTACTCATTCAAAAATATGGATGTCATATGTACAACTAGCATCTAGCTAGCAATTAAGGCAATATGAATTACTTCGGCCTAGAAAAACACAGCACCTCGTCTACTTATCAATCTTATAGGTATACCTGTATGCATATAAAATACAATTCCACTCAATCGCTAACTTATTAAGGGTCGACATCAAAACCAAGCCAAGATCCTTTGAAATAAAGTGCTCCCCATTAAACTACTACGAGTAATGGTCTAGTGGTTGACACTGATGGACAGATATATTGTGACCGTGGTTTATTCAATAGTCTCATGAAACGAGAAAAAAAGATAGTGGAGTTAATAGTCGGGATTATTTACCTATAGCCAGGAATGAGAACCTTCTGAAAGGCATCAGCAGCAAGGAGCATTTGATGGCTTTGAAGCCTGAAAATGGCTTTACCTTGTTCATAGCTACTTCCAAATGCCATTCTTGTGATCACATCCTCTGTTAAACCCTGAAACCACTCCGAAACTTCAATTTCAACTTCACCTTTCTCACACATCATCCGGTCCCACTTGTCCAGCATTTCCTCTACACTCTTTCCCACCATTGGTATCAACAACTGCATCCTCCCCAACAATATTTATGTGAGGCCATAATCATTACTTTACATACTATATTTGTCACATTCCATGGACTATATGTTAATGTTATCCCTACCTTCATGTTACACTTAAGTTTACTCGAGTTAACACGAGTAACATATGTTAGGTAATGATGTAGACAGACTTTGATTCTATGGTTAATGTATCGTGAAAATAACTTAATAATTAATTACCTTAAGATTTTCCATGTGGAAGGTGGGTGTTATGATTTTGCGATGGTGAGCCCATTTTTCACCCTTGAGGCTAATAAGTCCATCTCCCTCGAGTTGTTTCACAAGCGGGTTAGCCTCGATTTTCTCATAGAATTCGGACTTGGTACTAAAGATTTCTCTAATAAGGTCCGGATCTGAGACTGTCAAGCGAGCCGTGGGTCCGAACCACACTATGAATGTTGTACCTACACACATACATTCAAACATACACATTTAGATTAAAACAAGAAAATATCAAGCCTAGTAAATGTAGGAAATAAAATCCAAAACAACTTGAAAACTTGCCCAAGATTAAAAGATTGCAATAAATACATGGGAGTAGGAGGAACTGAGGAAGTAATAAACCTTAACACTAAAGAGGAAATACCATACAACTTCAAGTAGTAAGTATCAAGTTTGCAAATAAAGGAAATTGAAGCAATAAATAAAAATAAAAACTTTATACAAGTAATAAATTTCCAATAATTTAGAAATGAAGATTAAGATAGATATTATAGAGTTATAGAGGGCTACCCTAGAAAAATAGGACAATTCAAGACTGCGCCACTAAGAAAGAAACAAGTTGTACAATTTAAAGGGTTATCAAAATTTGAGCTTCCTTTAGTATCAGAAGGTAGTAAGAAATCTGAAAGAAGGCAATGATTATTAACCCCACATACATTTAATTTTCCTCTAGAAAAATCCTTTTTAATAAATAAAAAATATAATAATTGTATTAATAATTTTGAAGAATTATATACATTTGAAATTGTATTTTTTAAACATTGGAAAGCTAGAAAATTATCCATTAATGAATTATGATGTCATTTTCCAAAATTCAATTTTTTTAATTTTGGGTTATAATTTTGGAAGTTTACTTCACTATGGATAATTTATAACCTAAAAAATTACTCAAAAAATAAAAAATGAAGAAAAAAAGGAGGAAAATTGAATGCTTATACTGTAGTAGTAACTGAAATTGATGAAGAAATGCAAATAATTAACAGCTGAAAGAAGGCTGCACAACAACATCATGTCAGAGAGAAAAAACAGAGGAAGAAGACAAGTGATGATTATTAAGAGATTTTGGCTGATGCAATAAAAAAGTTGATAAAACAAATTAATGTTGAAAATCAACAAACCCCCACCAAAAATAAGAATTAAAATTTTAAAACCTTTTTATTAAACAATTCCAAGAAAGTACTCCTCCCCTTTCTCAAAAAGTTAGTATAAACTTTGGATGATATAAAATTTTAACAAAATCCAAGAATTATTTCCTCAATGGGTCCAATTATGAAATATCTACAGTCTCCCTTTTTCTCAATACAATGAATTGAATGAAAATATAATCTAATAACAAAAATTTTAAAGAAAAAATGTGTCAAATCACATAATGCTTTACAATTACATTAATCTTCTATTCACGACAATATAAGAACAGGATCAGATGTACGCAATCTTACCTACTAAAACTATATCCACTACACATAAACTTTAACCAAGTAACAAAAAATGTACTAAATGAACTACAAATACGAGACGAATGACTCATAAGTCATAACTTAACCTCTAAATGACTTAAGACATGATAAAAGATAATAAGTGAGAGAATTACCATAAATTTTCCTCCAATGATGGTAGAAAGAGAAAACTCTAGGAAGAATGTTGTGTGAAAAAGGCATAGGATGAGAAGAAGCCTTTAACATGAGTTGAACAATTTCTTTGACATTACCAATGAAAAAATTGTAAGGAGGTCCTTTGATCCCCTGTTTTGCAAAATGATACTCTAATTTTCTTGGTCTCCACCATAAAACCACCATTATTCTTAGTACTAAAACAAACATAATTGATGTAAAAATTATGGGTTTTATACCCAGTAATTTCACCAAAAACCCATCATCATCCATTTTTTGTTTCTTTGATTTTTATTACAAAATTTGCTCTGTTTTTTTTCTTTTCTTTCTCTCTAAAAAACAGAGCAAAACTGCTGCTGCTGCTTTTGTCTGGCTGTCTCTGTTTTGAGAAGGAAGCAAACTATTTTTTAAAAAAATTTGGATTTTGGATTAATAATTTAGATGGGTTTTTTCTTTTGTTTAAGTTTTTGGGTTTGTTTTTTTGTGTAAGAAGAAGAGTGGTTTTGATTTAGGAGTGAATTCTGTGTTTAATAGTGAAGAGGTTTTAGAGAGAGGAGAGAGAAAGTGAAGAATAGGGCTTGGCAAGGCCAACGGCGTAGGGGCCGCAATTGTGTATATTTTTGAGGGTCAACGAGGTTGAGTTTTATATTGTTTTCAAACATTCTTTTTTGACATTTTTACCCTTCTTCTTTCACAAACTTTGGGTGCTCAACATACTATTTGTCATTCTGTTGTTGAGACTTGAGAGTTGAGACTTGTTACAATTTAGTCCATTAAGTATACTTGCTAAAACGGAACTATTCTGAACTGAATTAAAGTTGAATTGTGCTTGAAATTGGATTCGGTGACTTAGTTCTAATGCAAAGCAATATCTAACCTAATCTGGCACATGTCAAGTTGTTAGCAAACGACCATCTAACAATCAAACATGCTAAAACAGCTCGAACTGAAATTTAATTTTATTAAATCGGAAATTGGATCAGATGATTTGGATCTGGCACGAAGAAGGATCTAACCTAAGTTGTTAGCGTTAAGAAATGATATGGAGGGATTGATCCCCCCCCCCTAATGAAGATCATTCAATATTGTTTTATACTCCATAACATGTAACTAGGTAGAGTTATGTCAAGTGTCTCTTGGGTAGCTATTAATGAATGTACGCTGATTTTTTCACCATAAAAATGATACCACCTTCATTTTAGCTTGATCTATCTAATTACTATAGATTCACTAATCAAGTACTTTAAAAATGGTGGTGAGGATAGTAACAAGGTTGACAAAATAAAAATACGAATAAATAATATAAGATCGATTAAGATGGATAAACAAATTTCTTAATAATGTTAGATAAGAGTTGTCCATGCATGATTTGCTTCCTTATGGAGTTTTATTTCATAGAAAATAATCAATTGGTAGCAATAATAATAGCAATGATTAAGATTTGTGCTATTTTGTTGAATTGGAAATTAATTAATTATTTGTGAATTGCTTCCATATTAGGGGCATATTATAAAAGTCATAAAAAGGTAATCTCCTTTATATATATCAAGAGAGTAACTATTAACTAAAATGTGATAATTTTGACTTTAAAGCATTTTTGTCAAGAAATAAAATTTACAAAAGAGTTATGAAAAGTTGACTAATAATAACATTTCCATTAAAGACATTGTCTTCATAAATTTGTCATTAGTGCTTGAAAATCATCCAATAACATACCGTGTAAAATTGATTCACCTTCACTTTGGAATGAAACAAATTAAAAGTAGAGAAGTCAATTTTCCAATGACATGCATAGGTAAGCATGAATATTTTTTCTATTAACGTTAACTTAAAGATTTAACTCATTTTAGTAATAACTTCCAATTGATTACTTCACTATATATACAAGTATATTGTTTGCACATTTTTACTAACTGTGAAATCTAATTGATTTGGAAGTATATATAGTTAATCGGACAAATGATACATTAATCCACCCGATGTTTTTCTATATACAGCCTTTCTTTTGAAAAAATTCTTGTTGCAAAAAGGATGAAAATTTTGTATACAATCACGTCTTATGCTTTAGACTTTTTCTAGAAAAAGGTAAGGTATATTTTTTAAAACCTCGCTCTTCTTCACTAATTTTTCAACATAATACTATGTTCACAATTAATCATTCTTTTAAATATAATTCATGAAACAATTTAAGTCATCACACAAGATAATATAATAAAATCCTTTTTTTTTTTAAATCGATCATCACTACTAGAAGCTCACTTAGAATTTTCTTCTTAACTTTCTCTAAAACATATAAAATTTATAATCATCTAGTTAAAAGAAAGAGTTTGATATAATGAAAGACATTGTATCTTAAATTATTATAGGATCAATGTCATACATTTGTACAACACATAAACTAAAATGGTAGAATCTGTTCACTTCAGCTTAATTTCAGTTCAGTTCAGCTCCAATCAATTCAGTTCAGTTCAGCTCTTAATTTCCTTCTCTCATAAAATATTCATTTCAGTCCTATTCAGTTCAGCTCAGTTAAGTAAATGTGAATAGGCCCTTAGTAATCTCATATTATTCTCACCAAGATATTAAAAGAAATAATGGCACTAATATGTACACTATAAACTTGGTATGTAATTATATAAAATGACTACGTGAAATATTATGAAACTACTAAAAAAAGAGACAATTGAGTAATTTTGAGCTGACAATGCATGCAAAAAGTGGTAGCTAACTTATCAAGCAATACCTCTGTCTACATTAATAATGACAGATAATACAACAATTGGCAACTACGAAATGAGATCATAACATAAACTACTATTAATACACATTCTAAGATCATTTTGTCACTTAATTAATTTAACTTCATTCGAACTGACCAAGATAGAACAATTACCTGGTTTCAATTAATATCACACGGGAAGCTTGATTAATTAATTCATATAAGGGTGCTATAATATTGATTTATGAGTTTACTTTATGATTAGCACACGTAATTACGTACGAAATTCGTACTCGTAAACTTGATTAGTAATGCAAATGACAGTACTAATTGGGATTGTAAAATTAATTGATTTTGATTAAAAGTTGATGGAAGGATAAAACGTAGAAGGTACTACCATGGTTCCTAGCTTGTTCCTTATTCCCAAGGGGCATAGAGAAGAGAGGAGGGAGGGTTTGCAATTTTGGAATGTTGCTCTTTAATTTGGGGCACATGGGAACTAAATTTGTCTATTTTTAATGTTTTTACTCATATTTCCTTAGCTGATTCTTCTTTAATTTCGTATAATTTAAAGAGATATTTGTACTCATTCTTTATTAAGGACATCACATTCTTTTAAATAAATTGGTTAATTATCGGACAACATAGTAAAGTGGTCCCGATATAAATTTTACAGTTTGTCAGCTTTAATCTGTGATCGTGATCTATCTATAGATTATTCGCATGAGATAATAAGTATAAATGTTGCAATTTACTCATGAAAAGAATTTTATAAATTAACAAATAATGAATCACTTATTAAAGAGTGTCATACATGTGAGACGGAGGTATTGTTGTAAATTTGTAATACATATACATCCATTGGATAGAGCAAATTTTCAAGTGGAAAAGGATATGGCAAATCTTCAGAGAATTGAAAGAGCCTTTTCAAACAAAAAATTTCATTGGGTTATCCAAACCAACTCACTTCCAAAGGGTAAACTAGGTTATTGTCAATAATAAGACTAGGATTCGGTTCATAATACAATTGACATCTTAGTCCTTTAATTTGTACATTTATAATCTAATTTATACCACTAGTAAAAGTAATAAAATGGAATGAATAGAATATTGTGTTTAATTAGCTTCGTGGTAAGGCACTGTTAAATTTGATGTCTTACCTCTTCTCCCATGCACTACATTAATAAGAGTCATATATATAAATCTCATCATGTATAGATTAAGGGTATGTTCTCATACGTTTATTTTCAGTTCAGTTCATTTCAACTCCTAATTTCCTTCTCTTATAAAATATTCATTAATTTCCTTCTTTTATAAAATATTCAGTTCAGCCGAGTTTAGTTCGGTTCAGCTGAATTCAGTCTATAAAAACAATCATCAATAATACTTATTATATTCTCTTTCAATATTGCTTTGTGTAATCTCTTAACTCAATTACTTCACTTCAATCAAGAAGTAAAAAGAAAATTTACTCCTCTTTATAATTTTGATTTTTTTTTTTTATTTTTTTTTTTTTTAAATGGCTTCCATCCTTAGGTGGGGAAGTGTGTGCTATATGACCAACATAGGTGAGCCCACGCAAAGGGCAGCCTATCTTTAATGTTGTCGTAATAGACCCAAAACATTATGGGCCCCATTTTCATACTTTATGGGCCCTACCATTTCCTATATTGAACTCAAAACGGTTACAATGCGCTCAAATTTTAGGGATTCATCAATTTTGGACCATTTGGCGGCCACATTGGACAAACTTTTCCAATCATCATTTTTATTTTTAAAAAAATACAACTACATATTTTGTTTTACCCCCCAATTCTTAGGAAATTAATTGAAATGTACAAGAAAATTATAAAAATATTACTTTATGTTAGTTAACCTAAAACAATGTCCATTTCCTAAAAAAAATATAATAAAATAAATAAGGGCCTTTAATTTGAAGATTTTGGATTTGAGGTGGAGACTTGTGCCCTAATAGTTAGGGGGCAGTCCTTAGAAAAAGAGGCTATAATAAGACAACATTTTCCATGAATTAAGCATGATGGGAGAAAAAAATTACTGATATGTAGCATTGCTTAGACAATAAATAATTAGTTTAAGGTGTTAATTAGCCATAGCGTGATCGCAGACCTAGTTACTTAGTAATAAGTAGTTAGTAATGTTATTAGATTATTATTTTTTCTACCATCCAATAAAAGTTTAACTACTCTAATCTTTAAGTAGACACTAGCTACCTAGACTAGATTTAAGAGTAATTACTCTTCTAGAGCATGGAACCATGATTAAATTATGCAAAATGTTTAAAGCCTACGTACTTTTATTAAAATTAGTCTCATAGATAGATTCTTTCAAAAAAAAAAAAAAGTCTCATAGATAGATGATTAGGCATGACATGGAGTATACGAATTATGATTTTTCATAATGTGTGGTTGGCGAAATAAATAAAAAAATAATATTATTTGTGTGTTATTCGTTCCGGAGAAGTAGCAATGTGTATTCATAATACAGTATAAGATAAAAACGACTAAATAAACATCGTTGTTTTCTTTGTCATATGTACTTATATAGATGAAAATAAAATAATATTATTACATATATATGGTTATTATATCGATCACATAATAACATACTTTATTAATTAGGATAACTATGATATCCCTTATTCCTTAAGACATTACGTGTAATATATATCAAACATACAAATTCTTAAATGGACCTGGTTCACACTAATTTATTGTGGACCGCTAACATTAGAGAAAGTATGGTTGTTTTATTAATAAAAAAAAGGGTCACTATAATTAAAAAAAAGGTCAATATATTGAAATAAAAATTTATTTTGGTAATATATATGCCTAAGTGGTTATTTTTGTAATGAAATATTTTATATATTGATCAATATGAATAATAAAGGTCACTATGTTAAAATTAGGGTAATAGCGTCATATTTCAAGTTCACAATATTATTAAACGTTGTAGTAGTTTTAATAAAGGTTACTAGGTTAAAAATAAGGTTACTATGTTAAAAATAATGGTCA